ACATACAAAATATAGAAAGTTCCTTATTTAACACGTTGAATGCGTATGACGCACCTGTTGCATCATGAGGGGTGGGTTCCTATGTGCGACTGATGCACCTGGTGTGTCAACTTTTGGTGTTACCAGTAGGGTTACCAGATGTATTTCATGACAGACCCGAGGACATGACCCGTTTGTATAATTGAAAAAAAAGGTCTCAGGAAATCTGAGAGACATTGTTTTCGAAGAAATCGATGTCCAAAAACAAAATACATAATCTGGCTTCGTGACAGACCTGAAGGAAATAATTGATGTCTAAAAAAATGGGATATGTTTTCGAAGAAATCAGGATTTTTTCAGAAAACCCGGAGAAATTACATGTTAACCCAGAGCCTTAGTTACCAGTCACTCTAGTAGTGACCAAGAAAAATTTCCAAAACGAAGTAAACACTTCGATTTGTGATATAATAGTTTCTGATTCTGTTACCAGTGTGCAAGACATACATTTTGTGCAAATGTCGACTTTCTTGAAGTATTGGCCAGTTTTTTGAAAAAAAAAGCATTTTGCAGTGAATGTGTTATTTTAAGATTTATTTTTGATACTGCTGGATTTAATGATTATTTTATAATGGCATATACAGTCGGTACAATATTTGTTTAGATAGAATTTCAAGAAAAGAACTGAAGAAACACGCCGTCGTAACTGCAATACAGTATGCACTGCAAACTGCTACGGTAAACGCCACGCTGCCAATATCTTTTTGCCTTGGGGGTCAAATGCGGTTAATTCCTAGAATGTGACACAGAGGTCCTCTTGGAATTCTATCTCGACAAATATCGTACAGACTGTATATACTTTGCATCATAATTAATACATCAGGAGTTCAACTTTGAAATGGGGGTCAATTTTTAGTAATTAGTTATTTCAATTCACTGTATTTGTTCAGGTTAGCACTTAACGGGAATTTGAGTGTTCAAAACTAAACCAAGTAAATTGTATTAAAATTCAGACTTTATTAATTGTATAAGTTACATTAAAAATACATAAAATATGGCAATTTTGGGCATAAATATTAACAATATGAATTAATATAGCTAACGGAAGGTCCAGTCGAATTTTCTGTAGGAAGACTTATTGGTCTCCAATACCACCAATTGTACCATACTAAAAAATATATATTTATTATACTTCATGTGTAATATAAAATACAAATAGATTTAAGTGAAGCAGTTACGATCAATATTTTTTTTTAATAAGAAATGTGAATGGCAAAAACAGCATCTAAATATCTTAATTTTTTTAAAAGATACAGAAAAAAGATACTTTTTTGCTATAATAATTTTTGACGTAGAATCTACAGGCAAATGTTATTTACACTTATAAAAAGTATGATGAATATCTTGACTACTTTTCGTTTTCTTGGAAAATATGAAATGTAATACCTGTAATTTTATGATTTTTTTATTTATCTACTACACTTTTAATTAAATCAGTTACTTACAAACGTATGATGGCTTCAAAATTACCGAGACAGTTCGGCAGTTCTGACTACATTCCATTGAAGGCCTAAGAACAATAGTCCTTTCCCCAGAGCCTTGAATCACAAATATATAGCTGCACTCCGTATTAGGTAAAATATATGGCTCCGCTTTGGCTCCATCGATTATTATAAATCTCTCAACACTTTGACCACATCGATCAGAAATAAATGACGGTCTCGGAAATAATTTACGAATTAATCGTGCTGGCACCATTTTGTTGATTCGCCACGAAGTATGTGTTGTGGTATTTGCCAAATGTGCCATATCACTGTGAAATAAGTCTTTTAGATTGTGGATACTAGAATTCGTCGACTTAATTCTTCGTGCTTCAACATTAAATACTTCTTGGTTTTCATTGTACATATGTTGCAATGTCTTAAAAGTCACTGGTTGCAGGTCTATCTATAAATTAAAAAAATTGATATAAGCACTGTAATTTCGTGTTATAAATGACTCCCGCCATGAATCGTTACCTTTACAATAAATGGTGTACCTGAACCCGAACTAAATGAGCTTTGGTCAACTTCAGATAAATCTAAAACTGCATGAACACCTTCACAAGGCCAACATTCCATATCTGCTACATAAAAGTATGGATTTTCCAAAAGGCAAGTCTCATCATATAAATCTAAAAAGTTTTATTTTTATTGTACACGTGAGGTCTACTCACTTGCAGCTTACCGGTTAGAGATGGGAACATTTTGATAATTGGAACAGATAAAAATCGTACTATCTTTAAAGTTGGGTATGTTAAACCTTGTACATTTCGTAAAACAATACTAGAAGTAGGCTGATGTACATTTAATAAAATGTAAATAAAAATCGTTATTAATGTGAATAACAAAAATATATTTATAACAGTACGGAACAGTTGTTGAGCTTTGGTTTTGGTTTGCTTTGAGCCGTTTGTTGACTTTTTTAGGTCACTGAAACATTTCTTAAAAATTATATCTAGTTCTTTGTTGCTTAAACCTAGGTCTTTGGCACTGTTTCGTAAATTGTCTACATCCTTTTTATATTTTTGTAGCATTTTTACTTG